TTTGGTTGATTTTATGTTCCTTAAAATTTCTTCTATAATCGGTAACGGATATACCGGATATTTCGTTATGGAATTTAATTTACGGTAATCAATAGCGAATCTCCACCTTTTTGGATGCTCCAAAGGATAATCATTATTTTTCTTACATAAAACCACCGGGCTAGCATAACTACTTGAGATGGGCGTTATGATCTTTTTACGTAGCATATCGGTAATATGCCATTCTATAATTTTTTCCTTATTCTTATCATACCGGTATGGTTTTTGACGAACCGGCAATGCATCTCCGGTGTCAATACTATGGTTAGTAACCTGAGTAAATCCTGGAATATCACTAAATAAGGAAGCAAATTCACTTACCACTTGTCGGATTCTATCTTGCTCGTCATTAGGCAGGTGGTCAAGATTTAACCTTGGCGGTTCAACCTTTTCTACACGCACTGGTTTCATTGTCAGCCTTAAGGGACGCTTCATTAAAATCCAGTGTAGCTTGTGCGTCTGAAAGAAAGTCTATTCCTAGGATTAAATGTGCTTGCAAATTCTTTACTATAAAAAACATCACCTTTACTTGTTCGTCCTTGATACGGATATATAAAGGTACTTTACCTACGCACTTACATTCTTTTCCTTGCGCGCCGCTAATACTGTCGTATTATCCGCATTATATATGCGGTATTTGCGAAAATACTTTCTAAAAAGACTTCTGCTGCCACACAGGAACACTGCGCGCCGGTATCCAGGAGTGCGGTGGCTGGGATATTATTCACCAAGACTTCAATCTTCGGAAGAGTCAAATTTTTCACCATTACTGTATTTAACTTGTAGGAAGAGGGGTTTTCGTGGCCTTCGGATTTCCGCACCCTCTCGTCAGCAGAAATCCGTTTTAGTTTAAATTATTTTTCCTTTCCGTGCTTTCCTTCTTTTTCCACTGGCCTTGAGACTTTTTTCCTGGGTTGCTATTGAACTGTCGACGTTCGCCGGCTGTTTTTGAATGCTCGGGTTTCCTTGCCCACTGATTCGCTTTTTCTCCGTAGCCGTGTGCTTGAGTTTGCTGTAGTCTTGGCGTACCAAATTGGTTTCGCTGTTGATATTGGCGTCTTCTTTCGACGTCCGCCGTTCTTCTACTTTCAAACTGGATTGCTAGCTCAAATAACTTTTCCAGTGTAGTCGGATTTCTTAATTCAATAAAGTCTTGCACTTGGGGGTAGTAACCTCGGCAAAATCACTTGAATTATTTCAGGATCCGGACGGTTTCCATACAAGAGCTTGAAAACGTGAATTTTTCTTAAAATAAAGCTCGAGAGGTTTTCGATTCTTTGTTGATATATGCTGAAAAGTTCCGTTTCTAATTTCGCACGATCCCTTACAACAGGGAAGGCTTTTAGTAGGGCAGTCTTGAAATTTTCGTAAGTATAGGTGGGACTTCCTGCTTGACCCAAGAGACTTCTGCCCGATACATTTGAACCAGTTAAGCGCTTGGCCCCTCAAAGCGCTGGTAGCTAAGGTAACTTTTTGAAACTCGTGCACGGGGTAGAGCATGAAGTGGTCATCCAATTTTTCCAAAAAACTGGTTACCGGTGAGTTTCCATTAAATGTTGCTTCTGGTTTCATCGAAGCGCGCATGGTCTGGACGATGTACCCAAATCCTTCCAGGGCGGCAGCTGGCATTTCTGGATTCTGAGCCGTTTCTGCAGGCAGCACAGGTTCTTCTTGAAACTCGGCCATGGTTATTCTTCTTCGTTGGGCGCCACTATCAGGTTCAATGTTTCTTCTAACCTTCTTCGGGAACATACAAGGACCTGACTAGGAACAGAGAGCTTACTAAAGCTATGTTCACTAATTGTAGTAAGTAGACAGGATACAGACGAAGGGTATACAAACCCCTTTATTTTTCTTTATATACAATGACTTCCGTACTTCGGAATACAATGACCCTCCACTCGGGGTCTAACGTAAAAGATATCAAAATAAAACTAAACTCTAATTTAACTTTAGAATAAGTGGAAGATTGGCCTTATAATAACAGGAAGCGTATGTAGCACAGAGACTGTGAACACTACAATACGTTTAATTTATCAAGAGGATTAAAACCTCTGGCCTGGAAGGCAAATAGCAACTGCGTAACTTCTAAGGTAAGCGGCCTGCTTCGACTCACTCACTGCTTCCTCTCTTTCGCTTGGCAAAAAGGCCACACTTAAATACTTGGCGTTCGCCAGACAAACTTTGCATAAAATCCTTAACGCTTATAATTCTGGCCGGAAGTAGAAAATAAGAAGTGATAGTAAAGATTTAAAATAAAATAAACGTTAGTAAAACTTAAGATCCTTACAATGTGTCATAGATGAAGTGATTGTATTAAGACAAATGAAGAGGAAAATAGTTAGGTCTTAACTCGACTTTATTATTTGAACTGAATAAGTAACCACTTATCTGCACCTGATAAATGAGCTAGAAAATTCTAATCTTGGAGGGTTCTATAAAATGAAGAGCATTCTCTGTGGAACATAAAGGAAATAAATTAACAGGAAGGAAATTTAAACAAAAGTCAATTTTTATGTAACTTCCCTTTGATGGGTTTCAAACTCGGGATCTTTGGTTTCCAAATCGGACTGAAATCTTACCCATTGAGCAATGGTTGAAACGGTTGAAGGGAATAATTTATCCTACAATAATATAAATATTAAAAAAGTATATCCATATTTTCTCATTGTGGAAGAAACTTAACAACTATATTAATACAGAATTTATAAGGGTCATTCAAATGAAAGTGGCATTGCTGTAATAACTTTGCTATTTGAAGAAAAGAGGACTGTACATGCCTCTATAGAGGGCGTAGAGTGCTGAGAGGGCATGCGATATTTTCAGATCATGCCAGATGCATGTGTGGTAGCAACGGTGCACTTGAAAAGTCATCTTTCGTATCATGGATGCCTCCAAATGATGTCAACATGCAATCATGCAATTTTTAACAGTAAAAAATGCGAGTGGTGTTGAAATCTATCGTCGAATGCAAAAGTGTATGGCATGGAGTGTATGAAACACAGATCAGTATTCTGATGGTGTAGGGATTTTCATAGTGGAACAAGCAGTACTGACAACAGGCCGCGACCTGGTCAAGCACATGTGGTGATCATCCAGGAAGCAGTTGCAGATGTGGACTATCTTGTGAAAATGAATCGCTGAATCACCACTCGAGGAATAGTGGAGGAGAAATGTGATCTATGAGCCTAGGAAGTGTGCACACAATGCTGCATGAAAGGTTGTGATACCACAAGGATTGTGTGCAGTAGGTGCCAAACATTTTATATAGGAGCAGAAGATTCATTGCATGTCTGTTTCCATGCAACATTTTTTGTGGTAGCATGAAATGGGGAACCAATTCTTTCAAGGACCATTGCCACTGATGAAACATGGTGCCAACACGTTGATCCAGCCACCAAAAGCATGAGCATGGAATACCAACACTTTTCATCCCCACGCCCGAAGAAGGCTTGCGCATCCAAGTCGACATTAATGTTAAGTGCTTCTTTGACATCGATGGCCCACTACTGTTGGAATGGCTACCTACAGGCACACCTGTCACTGCTACCATGTACTTTGCTACCTTGCGAAAACTGAGACAGAATATTAAGAACTGCCAACATGGCATGCTGTCATGCAGGGTTATCCTCTTGCATCATAATGCTTGTCCTCATGTGTCTGCGGTGGGCCAAACGTTGTTATGGCAATTCCGCTGGGAGGCTCTCGAACAGTCTGGGCCTCTCGCTGTTTGGCTACCATTTTGGTCCAGGCAAGAAATATCTGAAGGGGATAATGAGGTCCAAGCTACTGTTGAAAATTGGTTCTGCAACCAACCTCAGAGCATCTTCATCTAGGATAACCATCGTTTCGTTGACCGCTGAGGCACTTGTTTCAACCTACAAGGTGACTTTGTCTAGTCTATTTGTTATGTCAGTATTACTTCTTTCTTTTGTATACTAATTTATATTAATATCATTAAACCATTTTTCAAACCATTTATACTACCACTTTCATTTGAATGACCCTATTTTTTTAATTGAAAGCAAAATCAGTATAAAATAATTCATTTGGAATTCCACAAAATAAATTAATCCATTGAAAAGGGTAGAAGTGACATGAATACTTACAAACACACTTTAATAAAAATTAATAAATTTAGTTTATGGGATATAAAACAGATCAAAAGATCTGTTGTAATAATATGAATATCCAGCATATCATTACCAAATGTATGTTTCCAAGAAATCATGATGCTGTTTTATATTCATTCATCCTAATTTTATACGAGCAATTTTTTTTAATAAAATGTTTGAAAATGAAATAAATCAAGAATTTAATTCTTGATAAAACATTTGAATTATTTTACACATTTTAATCTGTGCAAAATAATTCTTTTGATAAATACAGTATTTAGGCATTTTCCCATCAATCAAGAAATTTGGCAGAAATCCTGGAAAAAGTTGTGCCATTCATTCATGTGGAATTCTGAGTAGTATTTTTATCTGCAACTCTTTCAATAAAACATCGTGAGTCTTGCACAATCCACCAACAGCCATTGTTCAAGTATTTGACCCATTCTGCTTCTGCACTTCATAAAAAGGCTTTAGACAGTTTCTATTATTTTAGGCTCTACAGTTTTACTGAAAGTTTTGTTTAGAGCACTATGTGTACAAATTTTCCTCAAGTGTTTGTTCTGTCTATTACCATATTCGGTTGTCCCCCCCCTTGCAACAGAGGTTAATTCTTTCAACCAGTTCTAAATGAACCGGTGTTTGGTCTAAAATGCGATGTCAGTGGCCCTCAACCCCCTTTTTTTCAAAATGCAGGGACAAAATACAGCAATAGCAGATAATTTATATCCTTGGTTAATCATGCTTTTGCCGACAGTTTCATGGTCAAGAGGATAATATCTAAGTAACATACATACATATTAAGAAAGATAAATTACTGATAAATATATCATTTTTATTTATTTTTAGTTGTTAATGTATGGACTACAGTAAGTCAGCAGCCTACCAAAAAGATAGTTTCCCTGACAAGAAAAGGATCCGACAAAAGTGTGAAAGAAACAAAACCTGTTCCTCAGCCAACTTCTCTAGCTCAAAAATGTGCCAAAGCTTCACAGAGTCAGATGCCTAGTATTTCTAAAGTAAATCACCAAAGTCTCCCTTCAAGCCCTGATATTGGACCTTTACAGCGACTGTCACCATCAGTCCAGCCAAGTCCAAGTGTTTCTATAGGTGCACAAAGAAGCTTGCAGAGCCCACCAAGTAGCCCAGTTCTTAAGTCACAGCCTTTTAGTGGGAAAATATCTCCTGTAACTAAAATAGATGGTGCTGTAAGGTAATTGTATTCTACTGCTGTTAACTTCTATTGAATGTTTCCAATGTTGCAAATTTTAGAGCTAATAGCAGAGAAGTTTAATATTTTAATTTAATTTTCCAGTGTTGTAAAGCATTAATATATTTATTGAAATAATTATTTTAGGTTGGGTTCAAGTAGCTCTGAGAATTTTCGTGTAAGTTCCTTGGGTCAGTTATCTGATGAAGCATCATCTCAGTTCCAACCATCTGCCTTACCTCGATTTCAGTCTCATATATATGTGAATCATTATGTTACAAATTCAAAATCTGAACCTGAGTCTCGAGTTACAGAGGTTGAGAATGGTAATTATTTTCTAAAAAATTATATCTAAATATGTAAATATGTGAAATTTTAAAGAGACATAGCTTTTTCTTCTGATGTCACATATTTGCATGATTTAATAAAAGACAAAATATAAAATTTCCTTGACTAGTTTAATAAATTAAAGTTCAGTATATGTTGAAAAAAATCTGAGTTTATTAAATTTTAGGAATATTTTTAAAGCTATATTTTAAAACATTTTCTACACTTGGCCACTGCATTTGGAGTCCTAAAACATAATCTTATACTTACATATTTTTATAGTTTATTATTACATAGTTGTTAAAATATGTTGTATTGCAGTAGTGCTCAGCCTTTAAGACGGTGTAAGCCAATTTTGAATTAAAAAATTTTTGGCAAACCACAGTTTTGTACTGAAATTTTCATATTTCAATAATAAATGTATATAATACCTAAAATATAAAATTATGTGGTATAATATGTTAAGGATAAAGTGTAATTAGGTATTATTTATAAAAATTTGATAAGATGTGAATTAAATATAGGAAAAGCATATTTTAAGCATATATAAGTGAAAACTTACATTGTACATCTTCTATGTTTTACTGTACTCTGATGCATACGATGTTATGACTAAATTCACAGTCATTCGGATGTTTATTTGTTATCCTGAATCCGAACTTTGATTTTAACAAGTTCATTCTTGAAAAACCACTTGGTAAGTTGATCCAAAGTGAGAGTTTAACCTTTGAAAATTTCTTTTAAGTGCGGATATTTTTCTCACGCACTAGTTATCCAAGAGGCTATTTGTAATATTCTTGTTTTTAACCCTGCAATGAAGGAGCCAACGTACAGAGTACGCCAGTGCCATCTTTTAGGCTGTAATTTTTAGACAACCCCTTTCTGAGCTTCCTCCCTTCCTCTACTCTCCTAGAAACTTTCCATGAGTGCAATGTATTTGGTTTTCTGGTCAGTCTGGTTTTCGCCTTCCTTCCGAAAAACAGTTATTGTGAACATGTCGGACAGGTGAACGCAGTATGCCACTCCTCCAATTATGTACTGAAAGAATATTGTACCCCCTGAAGATTATTTGCATATTTTAGAAGAAGTCTCGGTTGATGAAGACTCCGACAATTTGGATAACACATCTGATGTCGATGAATCGGAAGTCATTGAAGATTCTGAGCATGAAAATGACTCAGAAATTGGGGGAAATGTTTCTAAACATCCTCATTTTCTTTCCTCAAATGATGTTTCCCCAACAAGTAATGATTTTAGCGAAAATAACATGAAGGATTTAAAATATGAGGCCTTTTTTGTAAAAACAATTTACAAAAAAAAAGTTGGAGGAAAGTTTCTTAAAGAAGAAAAGGAAACTTATAAGTGGAATTAGGTTCCCCTGAAGAGCAAATTCGCCAGAAAAAATATGATGAAAAAAATATCCCCAAGTGCCAAAACTTGTGACAATATAAATTATGAGCTTTCTGCTATCCAGAAAATCATAAATACAAATATGATTGATGCTATCATACAATACAGTAAGACCCCGCTTAACGCGGGGGATACGTTCCATCAAAGTAGAGCGTAATGCGAAACAGCTCTAAACGAGGCTATCTTTACATGTAAATACTGGGGTTAGGGTAAGATGGCTAGGAAATTGGTTAGGTATTAAATTTATAAAGTATGTTTTTTTAATAAAAATAAAACCAAACATTTATTTCTTAAAGCCCAAATTAATACCACATTATTATTTCTTGCAAAAATAAAAACAAAATATAAATAACAAAACGAATATTCTTAAAAAAAAAACAAATAAAATTCTCAGTCAGTCATATTTAGTTAGCCTTCCGCGTTTTCAGTGTTCTGCCTTTTTGTGACAAAAGCATCTAATGTTGTTTGCCTTTTTCTTTTGCATTGTTCTCTTAAAAGTTCTTCATAAATGAATAGAGCATCTCTAACACCACGCCTTACTTTTGAGCTCCTGTCAAAATTCAGATCATTTTCAATGAATTGATACATTATTTCAGTTATGGTAGACAAACTCCTTTTTACAAACGCCATCGAAAGTTCTTTTTGCTCTTCTTCTGAATCACTGCTGTCAGCATTTTTGTTTTCTTCTTGTTCAGTTAATTCCTTGAGCTCATCATTAGAAAGACTAGCCGCTGCTTCTTGAATTATTTCTTCGACATCTTCCACATTTACCCCTTCAAAATATGTCTGTACAATACCGCACCAAACAAGAAATACAAGTACACTCTTTCGGATATGTATTTGAAACCTATCGCTGCATAATATTTCGGGGAATCCCCGTATGCTGCGAGCGATTTCGTGGAATCCCCGGGTTGAAATAAAAGAGCGCTAAACCAAAACAGCGCTAAACGAAACAGCGTTAAGCGGGGTCTTACTGTATACAAATATTTTATCTCAAATGTAACAGGACTGCAGATAATCTCCAAAACATCTCAAAGAGAAGCATGTATGATACTAATAGAGCAGAAATGTTGTCCTTTTTAGGAATTTGGCTCTTATTAGGGTGCAAAAAAATGTCAAAACTCAATTTAGAAGAAGCATGGGCAAAAGAGGTACTGGAATTGAAATTTTGCAAGGGGTCATGGGTCTCAAGCGATTCAGAAACTTGTGTGCTGCTATTAGATTCAACGATAAAGTCACTAGGTATGTGCGAAGAAAAACTGGTAAGCTTGCTGCACTAAGAGAATTTTTTTAATCTTTCAATCAGAACTGTCTAAACTTTTATACACCAGGTGATAAACTCACAATCGACAAGATGTTGGAACCCTTTCGCGGGAGATGCTGTTTTATTCAATTCATCCCCAACAAGCCTGCAAAGTACGGTCTGAAAATTTTTGCAGCTGTTGACTCATGAACGGTTTATACATTGAAGTTTGAAATTTATTGTGGCAATCAACCCCAAGAACGTTACAAGGCTTCTAATTCAAGTATTGTCATTGTCAAAAGGCGTAAGAATTGGTGCGTACATAGCCTGACGACCGATAATTGGTATACAAGCTACCTACTAGCTCAATATCTTCTTACCAAAAGGATAACACTTGTGGGCACACTGAAAAAAAATAAAAAGAAAATTCCAAATGAATTCCAGCCATCAAAAACAAGAGAAGTCGGCAGTTCACTGTTTGGTTTTCAAAAGGATATGACAATTGTTTCAAATGCGACGAAAAAAATAAGTGTATAATACTGCTAAGTACTTTACACGATGATGACAAAATTGACCAGGAAACAAATAAACCACACATAATCCTGGATTATAACAAATGTAAAGGTGAAGTTGACACCGTAGACCACTTTGTAGTAATTTTTGTCGCCCTGAAAACCAAGAGGTGGACAATGGCAATATTTTTTGCACTGCTACACGTAGCGGGCATAAATTTGCAAGTGCTCTTGAACTTTGCCAAACCTGATGCCAAACTATGCAACCATCAAGTTTAGAAAGATATTTTTTTGAAAAATTCTAGCTACATTTTTGATGAAACCATATCTTCAGAATCGTCTGAAAATGCCATTTCTCCTGTCGCATTCCAAAGCTATTATTAGAAAGCTGGTAACAACAGAAGCGGACAAGATGGCCGAAAGGGACGAAAATGCAAAAAAGATCAAAGGACGCTGTGCTGAGTGCAGTAGAATGAAGAATAATTACACTACCATAAAATGTCCTGAGTGTCCTAAGTTTACCTGCAAAAGGTGTGGTGTATTTAATTATGGCAAAGCACACTAGGTCTATCTGCCTAGGGGGAGGCATGCCTTCGTAGAGGACTTTCTAAGGGAAACTGGCTCGTATAGACGTTACACATGGGGAAAACCACGAAAACACCCATGCAGCCAGCCCATTCGCAGGATTCGAACCTCGAACCGAACTACCAGTGTTCAGCGACTTTACCGCTCGACCGCTTTACCTGCAAAAATCATCTGGGCAAGACAGTACATTTTTGCAAACTCTGCTGCAGTGAACAGGGACAATCTGAAGAGGAATAAAGTAGCAAAAGGTTTTTAATTTTTTCATTTGTGAAATTTATTACTTACTGAATTGTAGGTCATACTGAAAATCAATTATTTTCATTTCTAAATTAGAAGAATTTTTGTTTAACATATTTGCAATCTGTTGTAATATTTTAGAAATATTAGTATAAACAGATGTATTTGAAATGAAAGAAGCAATGGGCAATGGCAAAAGAAGCAAAAGTTTACGAAAATCAAAAAATCTACTTTCGAAGTTATTTTTAAGCTTGATTAGATTTTTTTTTTAGAATATTTCATTATTTCAGTTTTCTTATATTTCTGGAGAGTTATATAAGGAAAGAAGACTACTAGTTTTCTCATATAGTACATGCCATTGGCTGAATTGATAATATCTCTGAACAGTGGTTCTTTGACTTCAGTTCAAATCCTGTCAAGCATACTCATGCTTTATGGGATTTCTCATGTGTAATATGAGTGAATTTCCTTTAGCAAGCCCTCTACAAAGATACATAGTGCTTGTCTGCTTTGCCTTAATTGAATTTTATATAGTGATTACCTTTGGAATCATGTATCCATTTAGAGCAATTCCAAAAAATGGAAATTCACACTTAATGAGTGACATGAGTCATTTGACTCACAAATGAGCCAAGTTGTTCACAAAAAGGAAATAGAAGAAGCCCTTCTTCATTCCTGGTTGAAATACAGCTTTACATTCTAAAAATATAGTACTTTTCTTTCTTTGCAATGCATATAAAGCAGCTTGTTCGAAACTTAAAAACTGGGTGATATACATATATAGAAATGGTTTCACCTGCATGGGCAAAATAGATGAATAATTCTCCAGGGTGTTTCCAGAGTTCTAGAAGCTCTAACTCATTTCTCAATTCCTAGAACCTATAAACAATATCCATGGCCATGAAGAAGTCTTTACATGTTTATGCAGCTAACTCATGCAAGTAGTCTCTTTCAGTTATTTGACTAATAGAGGCACATTTTTGTAACATTTTTTTTAATACAATTATGGAGGATACAAAGAGGATTCATTTTCTTTTTGTGCAAAGAGGCTGTAAAAACTTCAGAAATTATTTGACATCCGCTAGGAATATTCTGTTCGATCATTTAAAAAAACCTTTGTTAGGTATTCGATTTGAGAGTTTAACATTTCCGTAAGGTCGTGGATTGAAGATACACCAAAAAAATTCTTTCAGAATGGCATTAAAGAAATATTTTTTATTGGAATTAGTGTTTTCGATGAAATGGAGATTATGTTGGAAAAGTGTATTGTAATATGGATGAAAATTGGTGAAATAAAAAAAAATTATGCCTGTAACCCTAGAACTTTGGAAACATCTGTCAGCTATGTCGCTTAACTTTTAACTGAAGTGTGTTAGACCAAACAGAAAGAAAATGAACCAAAGAATATAAATAAACAATAAATAAAACAGTAAGTGAATAAAGTAAGTTTCTTGCAAAATATAATTGAAAACTATTTTGTAAAGGAAAATTAAATTTTGTTACATGAATCTTTTACCATTTACCATGAAAATTACCATTTTCTCTTACCATTCATTGATCATAATGGGGGGGGGAAGCATGAAATACATTCAAATCATTGAAGAAATTTTATAATTGCACTTAAAAATCACTTAAATAATTAAAATGTGTGACCTGCTATCAGTGGATTAGAAGGACTCCATCAGTCCATTAACATTTCAGATAATAATGTTTTTTCAAGTAAGAGTGCCTTCAGATTGGTCCTACCCAACTCATGCTGCAGTCATCATTTGATAATAAATGTGTCCATATTTGCTCTTTCCTGTATGAATGGTCACCAGGGTCTTGCAACTACTAATGTTTTATTATGGGACTACCGTTAAGTTGCAGGCATACAGGGGTCAACTAGTATTACTACCCATATAAAGTTATTCAATATCATGCAACAGAAATTACAGCTGAATCATCTTTGATGGTGTGCAGGATGTCATGCCTTAATTGATGGTCATTCTCATATAATAACTGCTGTCATATTAATTCTAGCTGCCTTGCAATCTATGCTGTGACACTTTATTATGAATTTCTGACAGAACTGAAGCTCCATTTATTGATGCAAAATTTCAATGAATGAATCACAATCAATGAAAAATGCTTATCAAAATCTTTTGTTCATGTGTCATTACTGTATCCTCATCTGTTTTATTCACTATCCAGCACTCACTTCCATACAACGCTATAGGTCTTAGTAAGGTCTTGTACGAATGTATTTTAGTTTTACAACTTAGACTTTTTCTCTTACTTTTTGATTCAGTATTTTCAAAAGAAGCAGTTCATAATTATGAAATGTAGATTTACCCAGTGGTTTTTTACTAGCACAAAAATGTAACACTATGTACCTGTCATTCTAGATTTGAATATTAGCATTTTCAAAATTATTAATGATAATGCAAATTGAAAGTTTTTCTTACCTTGTGTTCTTTTTGAGATAACTAAATTTTTATAACATTCATCAAAATGATTTATTTATTATTAATCACTTTCATTTCTTCTGCTTTGATTTTCACAGCTTTATTATCTGTTTTTTCTCGTATTAGTCTTTGTATTTATAATGCAGTAAAACTTCACATAGCGACCACATTCATTAGATGACCATTTCTAAAAGTGACCAGTATTTGTGAGATCAAAAACAAACATTTCTTATAATCTTTTTTCACACTTATTCCTTTTTGGCCAATCATGAAGGTAACTATTAAGATGCATTTTATATTACTTTTAAAACCCTGACAGTTATTTTTACATAGTCATTAATAAATGTATTGAAATTTACAAAGCAAAATGAAATGTTTTAGACATTGCATTTTTTATTAGTTTGCTATAATAATTACTAATACAGTCAAAAGTCTTTAATCCGGGCTCGTCGGGACTTTGGCGATTCCTGATTATAGATCATCAATTTAAATCTGGTAAGATGGCATGCAGAAATTATAAAATTAAAAATATGAAACTGTAATTTATGAAATAAAAAGCAATTTTGATCTAAAGGGTATCAAATTTTACAAAAAAAAAAAAAAATAAAATAAAATATTTATTTGTTTACTTTATTAAACATTTCTTTCAATGCGCGCATGCGTAAAGCGTACATTACACATAGTCGAAATTAGAAAATTGCAACCAGAAAACTATTTGATGTGCACACATAATATTTATAATGACGAGGAATTTGATTTAAATCATATCAAAGACGGAGTACATCGAGATGAAATACTACATTTAGTAAGGAATCATAAGCCGAATAAAATAAAAACATCTGCCCTGAAGATAAGGATAGTGCTAACAGATCAACTTCCAGTTCACTGCGCGCCCACTGCGATGTCCCCCCCCCACCCCCGCAGAGCAGCATGAAATTGATAAACAGATCTTGGAATGGCTAGAGAAACAAAGGATATGCCTTTATCCATTTTTTGCAGCAATTCCACTTTGTATCTAATGGACATTGAAACATGCTTTCGCTTTATAGATCCTTTGGCAGCTCCAGAAATTGGAAACTCTTTTTGACATAATCGAAAGTTCAAGCTTTAGTTTTTATAAAATTGCCATAAAAATCTAACAGTCTGCAAAAAATAATAAGCTGGATCCAATTCGAAGATTAAGGAACAACGCAATCTACAACATTAACTGAAATAGGTAATTAGATAATTTTAGCTTAGCTAATAACGTCCGTTATACATTAAACATGCATGCATAAACGTATTATGCGCATGCATAAATGCATATGCACGTGCATTAATGCATTATGCGTTTACACATGTGCATAAAGTTTTTAGCTTTGAGGTCCGGATTAAAGACTTTTGACTGTACTAATGTTTAGATATCATATTATCCTCATAAACATTTCAGTAATGTAAATTTTCTGCAGTCTTTTCCAGTAAACAGAGATAAAATATAACTTTTTATATGAAATAGTGCATTTTTTGATTTACAGAAGCTTTTTAAGCAATTAATTTACAATGGGGAGAAGGGGGACAGATCTGTTTGTTTCAGGAATAAGAAAATCATCCTTCAGCTAGGAATAAACCTGATATAAAATTAGTAGACTATTAATATTAAACAAAAAGAAAGGACGAAAGAAGGAGAAGAAAAGACTTCTGCAGATATAGCACAAATTAAATCCATGAAGGCCTATGGAGAAAGTGTTTTGTGTGTCAGCATTTGAGAAAAGCAGTTTAAAAAGTTAAAATGTTCCAAACTGAAGAAATTGACATTAATGGCAAATAGATTGAAAGATCTAAAGAGTGCAGAGTTTTAAGAAGCACCTCAGTACTGAGATAAAATATGCAAGGACTATAAGCCTAAGTGAAGTAATGCCTTCATAAAGAATTGTCTAAGGAAAACTTCATATTTATTTACACATAGAAGAAAAACAGGAAAAACGTCATGTGGTATTTAAAGACTTGGCACGTTAATATATATGTTTCTTCTTGTTAAATAAACACACTTAAAAATTTGATCAACTTTCTCAAGCAAATCATGATTACATATAAACACACTGGAAAATGAAAACATTATCTTTAAGTTCTGTAATTATTTAGCATATTGTTGTAACTTTATTTTTCTTTATAGTATTACTATTAGAAAATTAGAATGTCAGTTTAAGAAATAAATTTCTTTATATATATCTCAGAAACATTGACTTTAATAACTTGAAACTCAGCATAAATAATACAATCCTTTATATCTGTATAATCTGCAGAAAAAACATAAAATAATGTCACCTGTTAGAAACAAAATCTTGTCTAAAAACTGTCATACTGTATTTACTTGAAATATCGACCCCCCCTCCCTATTTTCATTATACTTTTGTTCTCTAAAATTTTGTACTGCCTTATTGTATATAAATTGCATAACTGCTACCAGTTACAATAGGCTCTTCTAGGTGAACGATTTCAGTTTAAGCATGCATTCTCTATATTAACTGCTATGCTGGAAAACAGATAGGTAAAAATGCATCATTAAGTTTTCTTCATATTTCTTTTTTATAGCATAGTAAAATACTGTGTTTCATTAGGTAGCTTGTGTTTCATTGTAATTATTAACTGTATTTATTATCTTTGATATAAGATATTAAGTTAATTAAGATACTTCTTGCCTAAAATGTAGTAGATGCATTCTTATTCATTATATATTTATTGAAAGGTTATAAGACATAGCAAAATTTTGTTTGCATGTAATATGAATATCTTGGTTTCTTCTGTGTGTGGTCTCAGTTTGCTGTGATACATGTAAGTGTATTAATGCAGTTTATTTTGTCATTATTGTAGATGTCCCTGTCAAAGATGAAACTCTTGAAAATTTGAGGTGTGTAACTGTACCTGCAGCCGTTTCCATAATTGAAGTACCTGGGAACAGTACTTTAGAAACTGAAAACCCTCCAGAAATTGCATATCAGCAAGATGACAGCATCCAGATACACTTATATCATCGGCAAGTTAGACAGCATTACTCCCCAGATATGCATAGAGATGTCATGGAGCAAATACATTTTCAGCCACCTGCAACAGTAGCAAATATAGGCCACTTTGCTGGTAAGATGTCTTATTTAAGTATGCCAAAAAAGGTCAATATTATTTTGAACATGTCCCAACCGTAAAAAACTGTATTATTTCTTTGGTTCCCTGATAAAAGCCCACTGAAACTGAGCCACTTTCACTACAGCCACACACTTTTAACGTGCAGGATGATTCAATATTATCTCCATTACTGAAGGTTTTATTTTTTGGGGAGGAGGAGGCAGGGAATTTCATCTAATTGAAGGAAACATCTACAGTCAAAAGTCTTTAATCCAGACTCGTCAGGAGTTCGGCGATTCCGGATTATAGATCATCACATTTAAATCTAGTAAGATAGCATGCAGAAATTATAAAATTAAAAATATGAAACCGTAATTTATGGAATAAAGAGCAGTTATGATCTAAAGGGTATCAAAATCACAAAAAAAAAAAAAAAGCATAATATTTATTTGTTTACTTCATTAAACATTTCTTCAACGTCGCATGAAAAACACAAAAATAAACATTAATAACACAAATCAATAACGAACTCTGTGAAATTATGCATACAACTGGAATTTATGTCAAAAGGTATTTCGATTAGGGGGCAAGGTCTGAGGTACGCATGGAAATGTAATACAGTTAAAAGCTTTAACCCTCACTCGTTGGGACTCGGCGATTCGATTATCAGTTTTTCCGGATGATAGTATCGTTTAATCTGGTAAGATGGCATGCAGAATGATAAAATTAAAAATATGATGTAATTTATAAATAAATTATAGCAATTAATGATCTAAAGGGTATCAAAATTACAATAAAAAAAGGCTTAATATTTTGTTTACTTTATTAAACATTTCTTTCAATGTGTGCATGCGTAAAGCATATATTGCCCGTTTGAAATTAGAAAATTGCAACAGAAACTATTTGATGTGTATTCGTGATATTTAATGATGAGGAATTTTATTCAATCATATCAAAGGCGGAGTACATCGGATGAAATACTACATTTAGTAAGGAAATAACCGAATAAAATAAAAAAATCTGCCCTGAAGATAAGGATATGCTTCAGATCACTTCCAGTTCATTGCGCGCCCACGTACCCCCCCCGAGAGCAGCGTGAAAGATAACAGATGCGCCATGAAGAAAAAAAGATATGCCAGTATCCATTTTGCAGCATTCCACTTTTTGTTTGATGGACATTGAAACTGCTTTCGCTTGTAGATAGATCCTTTGGCAGCTCCAGAATCTGAAATTCCATGACATAATCAAAAGTTCAAGCTTCTTTTTAAAATTGCTCTAACAGTCTGCAAAAAATCATAAGCCGGTCCATTAAGATTGAAGGAACACGCAATCTGCAACATTAACTGAAATAGATAATTAGATAATTTTAGCTTAGCTTATACCGTCCATTATATATTAAACGTGCATGCGTAAAGGTATTATGTGCATGCACAAAGATATTATGCGCATGCATAAACGTTTATGCGCATACGTGAACGCATTATGCATTGACGCATACGCAGAAAGTTTGTAGCTTTGAGGTCCGGATTATAGATCATTCCGGATTATGGATGTCTGGATTAATGACTTTTGACTGTATTTACAGCACACTTGTGTTTGTTTAAATATCACATTTGCCATTCTTACAGTGTATGATGGAAAAAAAAAATTTTTTTTTAATGTTGTATTGAAGATCCAAATAATAGATCATTCTTGTTAATGGATTTCTGACTATATATTGTATTTTAGTATTTAATGTTTAATTACTGCTTTCCTCAAAAGGTGACTCTATCTTCAAGCTCACTTTGCTCCATCCATTGCTTTTGGTACAAAAGCAGTATTCACTAATCCCATTTTGCAAATTTTTTTTTTACTGCAGCTGAAGGAGGACTTGCTTGTATCTGGTCACAATTAAAATTAATAGAGTTATATTCAAAACCCATGTCAAAATAAGGTTCCTTTTTTGGCGTAATTTTAATTGTTATTTTGTTAGTTCCAATTATTCCACTATTGAATTTTAAAGACATATTTTTATAAAATTTTGTTTTCTTATTTTTCAGTTGTATATTTTATTGATAGGTGTTTATTATGAAAATTGAGTTTGTCATTTATGATGCTGTGGTTTGTAAATTTACTCTTGACTGATAATTTTACTTTTCAGCTAAAATGCATCCACATACATATCAAAATATTCTGCCTGAAAACTCAGCTCAGTTGCCTTATTCAGCTGCTTTTGTCACTACCACACGAGTACAGCAATCTTTAGCAAATAGCAGTAACATTCAGCATCAAGTTATCAATCCGTTAGCAGCTCTTCCTCCTGTGCCAAGTCCTACAGCACTGGAAAGCCATCAACAATTAATACCTGTTGGCAGCTCTGTAACTCCAGCTTCATCTACTTCTGTTCTTAATCCAGCTGCATCACCTGCACATTTTCCTCCTACAGATGAACTTCCATTGCCACCTGGTTGGTCTGTTGATTTCACAATGCGGGGACGAAAATATTATGTAGATCATAATACTAAAACCACACATTGGAGTCATCCTCTAGAAAAAGAAGGTTTGCCTACTGGATGGGAGCGAATTGAATCTCCTGACAATGGAGTGTATTATGTCAAGTAAGATACTTTTGTTGCAGTTCTAGCTTTTATCTTAATGCCCAGGAACATCAGTTAATGTCTCAGTTAATACTTAAATTATTCCCAGGAGTGCTGGTTATCTTATGAGGAACAATTACATTGCAATATGTAGATATAAAAAGTGATTTGGCAGGGGGAAAATTTTGCAGTTGCTATATGACCTGCTTTTGCATATTTTCGAAAATTAAAATAATTTAAAATTTATTTTCTTATATATAAAGACTAAATACACAAAATCATACTTTGTACAAATCCGAGATCTGACTAGTCGGGACTGCATGATCTGGATTGGATTTTTTTTCGGTATTCGATCATCAGTTAAATTTAGTAAGATTGTATATAGAAATTATAAAAATAATTATGAATCATGATTTTGAAATAATGAAGACTTAGGATCTAGAGAGAATCAATTCAAAAAAAAAAAAAAAAAAAAAAAAGTAAGGGTTGTCTTTAGTAACAATAATATTAACTTTACTTAGTAAACATCTTTCAATGTAAGTATTTAGTTGCTCATTTTTTTGTGCTATACTTTCTCTTTATTCTTAACAGACATAATTTTATTCAGTTCAGTTCCTATGTTCAAGCCTTATTGCTGTGTCGAGAATTTGTCTAATTGGAAATCAAAATTTGTCATTTTCGAACCTCTTTGTCACTTTTTTCACACGTATGTATTTCTGGATTTAGACACACTACATCAGGGTTCTAGCGGGCTTTAATGCTCTATTGAAATAAAATTAAAGGCCTTATAGAACTTACTTTTTCTTTAAGCCCTATTTTTGTTTTAGTGCTTATTTTTGCTTTAGTGCTTTTTTTTAATGAACGCGCTATTTTCCCTGTACCAAAGCGAACTAAATAAAAACTTTCTTCCTAATATGGAATGTCAGAGGTGATCTACTCCCGGAAACAGCTTCTGCCCCTTCTCTGCATGAACATAACCTTTGGTGTGTACGAAGAGTACAGGCAGGTTCCCCCGTCCTTCTATGGTCAAATTGGGAAAGCAGTATAAAATTCTGTAATTCGTTTCTTTTCCTCCACCCAATTATACACACGTTGAATTCTGTCAAGATCTAAAATTTAATTCGTTATGCTTGGTCATCATGTGTTTATTATGAGCGTTATGCTTATATATGAGTATATGTGTGAATGTTTTATAATAATAGTTGCAGTACTGTGAGTGTAGAAACTTCCAAATGGGTTTTTTAACACAGATTGCTTTCTAGGATAATATGCGGATGGCTAAATAAAGGAAGTAATCAAATATCAAAATAATTTCATTTTTTTGGCAATAATTATACAGTAGAGGTTGGGAGGTTCTTCCTTTCTCCGTAAAAGCTGAATATTCGTTGCAAAAAAGCACAGACTTTTTTTTTTTTTTTTTTTTCCACTTTCCACTGGTGAATAGGCTTGAGTCTCGTCTACGAACCCACCGTCTTGCACATAACGTTGCGATATTTGCGAGAAATTAATTTGATTTTCAGTCGAGATTTTTATGAACACTTAAAAAGATTTTACTGTCTTGCTACAGAATATTTTTTAGTTCCGTTTATATGATGCAATTCGAATGTCAAAGCATTTTTTACGGGAAATCTAAAGAGGCGGCTACGTTCCCCCGCTACCCCCGCTCTCTTTTTCAGTTCGCTCGACTCGCCAATATCGCCAATTTCCAAGTATGCGGGTTAGTTAAGCTTGTCTCTTAAAGGATGACTGCATGAGAAATTTCTTCTTCTGATTCAGAACTGTCTCTTTTTTACTTAAATTCTTGCTGCAATATCTGTTAAGGAAAATGATATACAATGAAATTTAGAAAATGTTCAGATTAGATTAAATTTTTAATATCAATTAGTGAAAAATAAATTGTATTTATTATTAGTTCCAAGCGAACAATAAATATGCCTTATTTATTTCTCTATATTGAACGAATTCCATCATTAATCTTGTAATATGGTTTAGTTTGAATAGTTTTTTTTTTTTTTTTTTTTTTTTCCCTCATTGTAAACTACTTCTGTAAATTGAACTGTTTTTAAAATTTAAAAAAAAAAAGTAATTATTTTCCATGGTTGAGGTAATGCTTATCTCTCTAATAAATACTACTGCATTTCTCATATTTAAATACAAGTCTAATTTTTAAGTTATGCAGTGTGTATGATGTAATTAGACAGGTGCTTATTTTTTTTCTTAAAATGTGCTTGAAAAGTGCGTATAGGTGCTTATTTTTTTAACTAAAATGTGGCTATGAACCCTGTACATATTTCACCATCCTTTAATTGATTCATGATTGGGGCATTGGCATCACAATGAAAAACGTGATTATATCATCTTCATTTACTACCGCTTCTCCATATTTCTTTACAAAAATCCACTATTTGAAAAATTTCGCCTTTGGTCTGCGATATCCAAAAACCTTCAAATTCGCGGCTATCATCTTCGTCATCGTCGCAAGTTATACTTGTCGCTAAATTTTGTCTTGCTTCTGTCGTGCCACTGAGACATTAAGCAATAAATATATTATTTTACTATTTATATCTAATGTCTCTTTCTTGCACATGCTTAAGTTTATCCGAGTCCTGAATAAATAAATTCCCTATACTTATGGCTTATCGAGGCCAGCGCTATATATCTTACCGCCTGATGCAGTCTCTGGGGGTCCTAAATTCTGCTACCAAGTGCCTCTCCAAGTTCTAAATTTTTGCCGACCCTAAATTTTGGGTTCTGTGCTTCTCTCAATTCTAAAATTTTGTCATTCCTTAATTTGCGCTCGGGGTTTTTCCCTAATCCTGCCGGCCGGTGCAGCCATACGAGCTCTGGAAGCCGGTTCTGGGTTTCTGAATAAATAATCAGTTATTCTTATTCAGATAGCACTAAATGTGATCTTTTGGCCTATGAGTGTCATAACAAAATCTGTTTTTAACATATGAAAAAATATTATTAATTCCCCTAGTCAACATTTCATAGCGCATTTAACTTAAATCTGTAATCATTGCCAAGCGTAATGTCCACTTACTCTTTGTTATCAATTACTATAAAAAATGCTTAGGCAGCACTGCTTGAGTCATTACTCAAATGGATTAATAAACATGTGATAATGAAAGCAAAATATAATAAATAGTGATTTGCCAGGTTGGCGTCAGGGATATAAAATATTAGCAGATGTAAAATCAGCGATATTTCTATATAGAATATTTCAGTGTAGAATTCTATGTAGAAGTCAGTGCAGATGTAAAATCAGCGATGTTTCTATATAGAATATTTCAGTGTAGAATTCTATGTAGAAGTCAGTGTTTCAGTGTAGAATTTTATGTTCAGTGTGTATTTTATGTAGAATATTTCAGTTTGAGATGTATGCCAAGCAGATACGCAGTGATGAAGCCAAATTATTGATCACACAAATTTATGCTAAAATGTTTGTTTCTTCAATGAGGAAGTGTTTTATTTATTGAAGTGAATTTAACAATGCCAATGCAAATGAGGAAGATTTACGGAGTTCCTATGATAACACTACGCACCTCTACATCAGCAGAGTAAAAATGAACAGAGTTGGAGGAAAACAGAAAAGAAAGGTAAAGGAGAATGAAAGCCAACATGGCTGGAGATGAATTAGGGAAATCAAGAGATACCTCGGAACGAGAGAGGAAGGCAGTTGAGAGAAATCATAGTTAGGAGGATAAAGAGAGAAAGAATCATTGTCAATGGCTTAAGTTATAAGAGAAAGAGGAGATGGGTTGAGCTTGGTCAGGCCCAAGTTCATGAAAAGAGAATAAGAAGAAAAAGCAGGGAGGGGACTTACGAAGCAGGAGCAGGTCACGAGAATTAGTCTAAGTCTTCAGCAAAGTTAATCAAAATCTGGGTAGCTTTGACTCCTTCAGTGAATTTTTGTGCTGAAGTTTTGCATTCCTAATATTTTGGATAGATTTCATGATTTTTCCTAGGAAACTTTGAATTTTTTCATCATATAACCATTCCATTGTCTCGGCAAAGTAGGGATGTGGCTTCTCTGCCCTTTCGGGTCTTGGTTTCTCGGCATAGGTTAGTCCAGTGAAATTAAGAATTGGGATTCTCTGCATGTTTTATTATGAGGAGTGGGAATCAAGCACGCATGCATAAGCATACCAAAAAAGAAAAAAAGATTGTTTTTGGCTTTGGATGTCTGGATTTTATATCATTCCGCATATTGGATGTCCATATCCTGGACTTTGTACTGTATAATAAAGTACATTGATCTGTTTTTAAATGAATGTAAATTTTAAAACTCATGTTTCTTTCTTTTTTTATATAATATACTTTGCTTGAATCTACAATTGCCAGCTTACTGTTAGCAACTAATAAGTTGCAGCTGGCAAGCGAAAAATAAATAAGCTTGGAAAGGCATGATTAATACTTCCCACAATTTGTTTTCATGATTTGGGAGGGGAGAGTATCTGTTTTATTTATACTTTTACCATACTGATGGTCCTTAAATGTAAATTAAATTTCTATATAATATGATTATGCTTCATTATCACATAAAATGCTTAAGCAACAGGTTCACAGCTGAAGCTTTGCCTGTGAGATTTTCAAGATGCATTTTGATCATCATTGTCAGTACAGGGAGTTATTAAAAAGAAGAAAGATGGAATTAGATAAAAGGAAAAAAAAAGGGTTCCCATTCCATTGTTTCTTGCTGATTACACATGGTTGTGAAGTATTTATGAACTTCTAAAATATCCTACTGAATTCTGTAGTTGCTGTTTATTGAAATTATGAATGTTTATTTTGCTGCATGAAACTATGTTGAAATGTATATTTACAGGTACAAGTAAAAGTATGGGGGACACCAGTGATGTACCATGGGTGAACTGGCAGTGCCTTCCCACACTAACTCTTAAAAAATAAATAAATAAATAAAATAAAAATAATAAAATCTGAAAGGTTTCAGATTTTAAATTACGTCCAAAGGGGAATTTTTTAAACATGTTGTGTGTGGCGTTATTATTCAATATCAC